ACACTGGCCTTTTCAGGCAAGATGAAGCCAGTGTCCCTTGAAAGCTTGCATTACAATCTATTTAGTTAGCAATAAATGTCATCACCCTAAATCTAAACTTCTACGTTTGCAAACGTGGTACAGCACTCTTCTTCTCACAAAATAAAAAATATTTTTTCGCCACTGCCCAGGTAATCCATACAGAACATATGTCATGTCTTTCCTTCTAAATTCACCAATTACGGATTTGTTTTTTTGACAAGCAGGTATTGATACTGAAGTAATGCTTCCTGAAAAATGCACATAAAATGTTCTTGGAGACCTTAATGAATAGTATTTACATGTAGAATTATAGTTGTCCATAACCCTAAAATCAGGATATTTTCCAGCACTGGCAGCTTTTTAAATCAAATCAACAGTCTGAATTGGAAGAAGAGCGAGAAGATGGGAGAGAGGAAAAGAGGAATTGTTCTGAACCAACTAGTCAAGGTTATCTACTAACTGTCTAGTATCTAGTTTATTGGTGGGGGGTGGTTGCTCCAGGCAAAGGAGTAGGTATGTACCTTGTAAGGGAATGGATGTGATCACGTCAGGGAAAAGTAATGATCAATGTATTACAATGTGAAGCAGAGATGGCATATTGTCTAGCTATTGTGTGTTCTGATCATAAACCACATTGCTCTTCTCACTCTCTGGTTTTATGAAATGTTCACTGTAGTGAATCCATGTGCAATGAGAAAAATATTGTTTGTTTCATGAGATAATGCTTTAAATTTTATGCCATATAATTCTCCTTCTGAAATGTTTGTTTTATTTTTACAAAACAACTGATCTAGGACACAGTTTACAGCCAACATTAGTAAAGCCAATTTGTAACAATGGACTGGAAACAGTAATCATAACACAATTCATTCTGCTTTTTTTTTCGTGTGGAGATTACGTATGCCTCATCGGATTTCATGATATCGTCCTCTATTTCTGTCTAAAAAAAAGTCAGTCTTTTCTAATTTTTGTGGTTGGATCTAGGCACCTATGAAGCTCTATTTTCATATTAGGAAAGTCATGTCTGCTTTACAAATACAAGTTAAACATAACCAAACTACACCTATACTGAGTGACTAATCATTATCCTAGATCTTATCTTGATTTGTTAATTGCCCCACCAACTCCATCATTATCGCTGCCAATATTTCTCTAAACACCCCTGAATCTGAACTTCAGAAATGTCACCAAGTGTGTTCACTGGTTAAAACACTTCTCTCTCTCAGGGCCAGCTGCAGCTTAGATTACATGTAGCACCCTCTTAGATAGGTGCTAGGTGTGGACAGATTTAGTTTGTATTTTGATAGGTAAATTTACAGTGGATATAAAAAGTCTGCACACCCCTGTCCAAATGTTAGGTTTCTGTGATGTAAAAAAAGTAGACAAAGATAAATCGATTCAGAACTTTTTCCACCTTTAATGTGACCTATGAACTGTACAACTCAATTGAAAAACAAACAAACAAGCTGTGTTCAGAATTGAGCAATCACATTCAAAATCATGTTAAATAGGAGTCAGTACACCCCTGCCATCATTTAAAGTGCTTCTGATTAACTCCAAATAAAGTTCAGCTGTGCAGTAGGTCTTTCTTGACATTTTCTTAGTCACATCCTACAGCAAAAGCCATGGTCCACAGAGAGCTTCTAAAGCATCAGAGGGATCTCATTGTTAAAAGGTATCAGTCAGGAGAAGAGTACAAAAGAATTTCCAAGGCACTAGATATACCATGGAACACAGTGAAGACAGTCATCATCAAGTGGAGAAAATATGGTGCAACAGTGACATTACCAAGAACTGGATGTCCCTCCAGAATTGATGCAAAGATGAGAAGAAAACTGGTCTGGGAGGCTGCCGAGAAGCCTACAGCAACATTAAAGGAGCTGCAGGAATATCTGGCAAGTACTGGCTGTGTGGTACATGTGACAATAATCTCCCGTATTCTTCATATGTCTGGGCTATGGGATACAGTGGCAAGACAGAAGCCTTTTCTTATGAAGAAAAACATCCAAGCCTGGCTAAATTTAGCAAAAACACATCTGAAGTCTCCCAAAAGCATGTGGGAAAATGTGTTATGGTCTGATGAAACCAAGGCTGAACTTTTTGGCCATAATTCCAAAAGATATGTTGGGCACAAAAACATCACCAAAAGAACACCATGCCCACCATGAAGCATGGTGGTTGCAGCATCATGCTTTGGGACCGTTTTTCCTCAGCTGGAACTGGGGCCTTAGTCAAGGTGGAGGGAATTATGAACAGTTCCAAATACCAGTCAATATTGGCACAAAAACCTTATGGCTTCTGCTAGAAAGTTGAATATGAAGAGGAACTTCATCTTTCAGCATGACAACGACCCAGGGCATACATCCAAATCAACAAAGTAATGGCTTAACCAGAAGAAGATTAAAGTTTTTAAATGGCCCAGCCAGAGCCCAGACCTGAATCCGATTGAAAATCTGTTGGGTGATCTGAAGAGGGCTGTGCACAGGAGATGTACTTGCAATATGACAGATTTGGAGTGTTTTTGCAAGGAAGAGCGGGCAAATATTGCCAAGTCAAGATGTGCCATGCTGATAGACTCATACCCAAAAAGACTGAGTGCTGGAATCAAATCAAAAGGTGCTTCAACAAAGTATTAGTTTAAGGGTGTGCACACTTATGCAACCATATTATTTTAGTTTTTTATTTTTACTTCCCTCCACCTTAAAGATTTCAGTTTGTTGTTCAATTGAGTTGTACAGTTTATAGGTCGCATTAAAGGTGGAACAAGTTCTGAAATGATTTATCTTTGTCTCATTTTTTACATCACAGAAACCTGACATTTTAACAGGGGTGTGTAGACTTTATATCTACTGTTGTTGTCCCACTGTAGATAGTGCAGATGTAATTGTTGCTAGGTAAAAGCATAACCTGCACACTGTAATCAGTGTTGCTTTGTTTTTCTAGTTAGGTCTGCTCCGTTTGCTCAGCTGCTGCCAGCCTGATAACTCCCTCTGCATCCAGAAAGCTTGAGAAGTGTCTGGATAATAGGTGTGGAGCTTTTCAGATGGCTGCATGAATATTGATGCAGCCCCAGCCTATCCCAGAGAGACAGGCTATGATGGCATGCTGGGCAACAGTATATATTCAGTGAGCACACTGAGCTCAGGGTCTTTACTGCATATGATTGTTCCAGCCTGGGAGAGTGTACGTCGCCCTACCAGGCAACTACTGCTGTGTGGCCTCAGGTGGGCAACCTGAGGGCCTAAATGCTGAGACCCAGGTTCTACTAAACTACTGAAGCATCACACTGAGGAGGCATCACAGGTGTTGTCCTGCTCTTGGGCTTTGTGAGTAAAAACATCCCTAAAGGACCTTAGAGACTGTGTGCTACTTAACCCCATCTGGTTCTAAGGAGTCATCTGCGGGCCTAGGCTAAAGGGGGCAGCGGCTGGTGTCCTGAAGAGCTTTGTCCAATTAACCTCTTACTACAAGGGACCCTGCTCAAGCTTGCTACCACTATTACTACTGCTGCCTTAAAGTTGAAGTCTACTTTTTGTTTCAAGCACGGACTTTGTCATAGATTACTGTATCTAAAAGGATACTTAAATTCCTCAGCTGTACATAGTTTCCATTTTTGGAATATCCCACCTAATTCCCCATCCCTATCCCAAGTTTTTCAGGAAAAAAAACAACAACAAAAACACCCTAGAGTGGTCTTTGAAGAAACGTGTGAGTGAGCCTGGCTGTGGGGCAATACTTTAGGGGAAGACCTAGAGAGTGTTCCTGCAGCTCCTATGGAAGTAGCGCTATATACATAAAATGAAGCTAAGCACTGAACCTATAATATGAGGCTGCAGTGCTGCACAAAAGACAAAAGAAAAAAATAAATAAACGGCCCCTTACCTCCTCTTCTTGGGTACCCCACTGGTGCTCTCCACTCCCCCTCTTCTTCATGTGCGCTCCCAAGCTGGGCTCTTTCTATCCATAGACATGTAGTGAGGTTCGGTTTTACCCACTGCTCCCTCCGCACAGGATGTGATTGACAGCAGCAGGAGCCAATGGCTCCCGCTGCCATCAGAGCCTACTGTGAATACAGGAAGAGGGAAGAATAGATGCTGCAGACAGGACAGTGCTGAATCAAGAGAGGACTCAGGTGTTTAAGCAGGGGGCTGGGAGGAGCTGCTATTGAAAGGTGTTTTACCCTAAAGTGGTTATAAAAGCAAAAGGTTTTTTATTTTAAAGTAACATTAAACCTTCATTTTTAAAAAAAACTAAAATAACAGACATGGTAAAAATTAAAACAGCCCCGATCCTTCTCTTCTGGGGTTCCCCACTGGCGTTCCAGACTCCTAATCTTTGGCGAGTGCCCCCATAGAAAGCCATTTTCGATGGGGCACCAGTGCAGGCTTGCTCTGAAGCCACCCTGTCTGTGTCTGTTGACACAGTGCAGGCCCCCTCCATCGTCACAACCAGGGGCGGACTGACAACTCATGGGGCCCCCGGGCATTAGGGGATCATGGGGCCCCTGTGTCCTTACGGTAATCATTTTCTCTAATGTTATTTTATGGATATAGCGATTTCCAATGTCTGCATTGCATTTAATTTGTTTTCATTAAATGGAATTAAAAAATAGTTTGGAGATAATTTTAGCTTTTTAAAGTTTGTAAACGGAAGTTTTAGATCTTTTTTTACTATATGTATACAATCTTTGTATTACAAATAAATATTTAAAACATGTCAATGATTCCCAGAGCACTATGGGTTGTCTAAAGAGACAGCAGAGCTGTAAATATCTCCTTCCAGGCAGGATCTCTCTCATTGCAAGTTTAGGCTGCACTATATCACGTGAGTATGTAAGGCCTTGTACACATGGGTGGTGATGAAGACACTGCATTTTCACAGTCCTCCGTCATCCCATCTAAACTGTGCAATTGTAGCCACAGGGGGTAACATGTCAGGGGCGGACTGACAACTCATGGGCCCCCAGGCAATAGGGGATCATGGGGCCCCTGTGTCCTTGCCCAAACTCAAAAAAGCCTATGATAAAAGGTACCAGGGGCATCTCATGGGCCCCCTACTGACCCCGGGCCCTCGGGCAGTGCCCGAGTTTCCAAATGGTCAGTCCGCCCCTGGTCACAACATTTGATTGCTAGCAGTGGGAGCCAGTCTTCCGCTGCTATCAATTTCCCAGTGAGGAGGGAGACAGTGGCTAGATCCGCTGCTCTTGTGCACATTGCTGGATCAGATAGGCCTCAGGTAAGGAAAGGGGGGGAATCCTGCAGCACAGGAGTTTTATTTACCTTAATGTATAGAATGTATTAAGGTAAAAACATAAGGCTTTAGAACCACTTTAATACATTCATTATATACTAATATACTTTATTAATACTGCATTCAGGTACAAAGCTTTCAATATCTGCTCCCTCCAGCCCTATTCTGAGCTCTCTCTCAATCCAGTGCTGTGCCCGTCTGCAGCAGCTCTTCTCCCCTTTCTCTTCTCACAGGACACTCAACAGTAGCAGAAGCCATTGGCTCCTGCTGCTGTCAGTCAAATCTCTGGAAAAGTGGAGGGGCCAAGTTGCACTTTGTGTGTCTATGGATGTGCACAGCTCAGTTTGGGAGCAAGCCCATGTGTATGTCTCTATATCAAGAAGCTTGCTATGGCGGCGCATGCAGAAGAGGAGAAGCCTAGTGCGCTGGCAGGGGACCCCATAAGAGGAGGTTTGGGGCTGCTCTGTGCAAAGTTATTGCAGAGAACAGGTAAGGATATTTACATAGTTTATTCATTATATAGTTTATTCATGACTGGAGTTCCACGATGTCATATTGGTGGCACACAATAAGGTAGAACACATTGGCTCCTCTGTTCTTCTACATCTGCTTTTCACTTATACATGAAAGAAGCCAACAAGTGTTTTTTTATTTGCTGTAATTTTAAGTTCATGTTCCTATGTGTGCAAGATGCCTTCTGAAAACAACAAGATCAGTTCCTCTCTGTTTTTTTTATCTTCCATGTATCATAATTCTTTAACCATGCAATGGAATTCTTTGTTGTACATTACACCATCCAAGCACACACCCTTCCTTCTTCCACCCTATCTAGCTCCCTTTACCTTGAAGGTAATGGTCAAGCATGATACCCCCTGGAAGACCTATTGTTTTAGGTCATGAGAAAAACTAACCAGTGAATGCACATCAGGATTGAATTGAGTGGGGGGATGCTCAAGACCTTAGGGTCTAATTGACAAAGCAATGCAAAAAGTATTTCAAGGCTTGTTCGGTAAAGCCAGGATGATGTGCACTGTACTGTACCACTGCCAATACAAGAACATTCTATAAAATTAGAGCAATGAAAGTTTCTGATTTCATGCTATAATTAAGAGGTCTCCAAACTTTTCAAACAAAGAGCCGGTATACTGTCCTTCAGAATTTAAGAGGGATGGATTAGGGCCAGCGAGGACAGAAAATGTCCTGGCCTCAGCATCAGTGAGAATAAACATGGCCTCAGGGTTGATGGTCAGTAGGAGGAGTAGTGTCCCATCATTGGGCAGCACAGTGGCTGAATGGTTAGCACTTCCACCTGGCAGTACTAGGGTTGTTGGTTCAAATCCCAACTATGGCACCACCTGCCTGGAGCTTGCATGCTCTCCCTGTGCCTGCGTGGGTTTCCTCTGGGTACCTCGGTTTCCTCCCACACTCCAAAGACATGCTGGTAGGTTAATTGGATCCTGTCAAAATTGGCCCTAGTATGTGTATGTATGAATGTGAGTTAGGGACCTTAGATTGTACACTCCTTGAGGTTTAGGGACTGATGTGAATGCACAATATATATGAAAAGCGCTGCGTAAATTGATGGCGCTATATAAGTACCTGAAATAAATAAATAAATTGGTATTAGTGGGAAGAATAGTGCCCCATCATTGGTATCAATAGGAGGAATAGTGCCCCATCATTGGTATTAGTGTTCACTCCCGCGGCTTCAATTACCACCTCTATGCCGACGACACCCAAATTTACCTCTCCCACCCCCACCTCACCCCCTCACTCTCTGCCCGCATCGCCCACCTCTTAAACGACATATCAGACTGGATGTCGCTCCATTTCCTCAAACTTAACCTATCCAAAACCAAGCTCCTGGTCTTCCCCCCACCCTGTGCCCCCCCCCATCCTCTCCATCACTACTAACAATGCCACCATCTCTCCCACCCCACACGCCCACCTCTCCCTTCCTACCCCACATCCAACTGCTATCTAGATCTTGCAGGTTCCACCTCCGCAACATCTCCAAGATACGCACATTCCTCACCCCAGACACCACCAAACAACTCGTACACTCCTTCATCCTCTCAAGCCTGGACTATTGCAATTCCCTTCTCACTGGCCTACCCAAACGAACGCTATCCCCACTCCAGTCGATCCTAAACTCAGCGGCTAGACTCATCCACCTCACCAACCGCTCCACATCTGCCTCCCCCCTCTGCCAATCCCTTCATTGGCTCCCGATTGCCCAACGCATCAAATTCAAACTGCTAACTCTGACCTACAAAGCCATTCACAATGCCGCCCCGAACTACATAACTGACCTGATACCCAAATACTACCCTACCCGTGCCCTCCGCTTCTCACAGGACCTCCTACTCTCTAGCTCCCCTTCTCCCCCACGCCCGACTGCAGGACTTCTCCAGGACTTCCCCCATCCTCTGGAACTCCCTACCCCACATCCATCAGACTGTCACCTACCCTCCTCACCTTCAGGCGCACCCTGAAAACCCTCCTCTTCAGGGAAGCCTACCCCAAACCTCACCTAACACCCGACCTCACCTAACAACTAACCTCCTCCACTCCTCCCAACACTCCATCCCCCACAGCCATCTCCATCTCCTCCTGTACCACCTTCCCCTCCCTCCTAGATTGTAAGCTCGAAAGAGCAGGGCCCTCGAACCCCTCGTGTAGTGTATTGTTACTGTCTTGTCTCATGTTCTGTCCCCCCTGCTACTGTACAGCGCTGAGCATACCCTTTGGCGCTATATAAATACTGTATAATAATAATAATAATATTAGTGGGAAGAATAGTGCCCCATCATTGGCTTCAATGGAAGAAGTACTGCCCCATTGTTGGTCTCAGTGGGAGGAATAGTACCCCAAGGGCCAGATAAAGGGTAGTAAAGGGCCACATCCGGCCCTCGGGCCTCAGTTTGGAGACCCCTGCTATTGTGTACTGAACATCTCGCTCAATTACTGTATATTACAACACTTAATGACTTCCTATCTTCTTCTTATCCATGTTTATCAATATGCATATTTTACTATGCAGTAACCACACCTGCTACCATTAGCCCTGGTTCACACCAAATGCGATTTCAAAGTGGGGTGAACCTCATTTAAAGCACAACTACAAAGTAGCACTGATATAGACAAAGCTGTGATTTCAGTGCCATTTACCTTATAGTCTGAGAGTTAAATTGCACTGAAGTGGTGAAATAGTAATGCAGAAACTATTTTTAAATCACACTACTTGAAATAACACCTATTAAAACGGTGCCATAGAAATACATTAAATGCGACTTCAGGTGCGATTTGTAAATTGCATGCTGCACCACAAGTCGCAGCAGTGTGAATCACTTAATGTTGCTGATAAAAAATATAGGATAAAGGAAATGGGAAAACAAATTAAAAAAGATACAGAAAACCACTAAACATTTCCTTAACTGTCCCTAAGGCTCAATGCACAACTAGCGTATTTCTAAGCTTCTAGAACTGTTATCAGCATTTTTCTGCTCCTAAAGCTAATTAATGTTATCCTATGTGTCCATGCACACTATGTTAGGCTAGTAGCGCTTTTCAAGCTTCAGGAGCAGTATATAGTTTTTTAGTTTTTGGGAGCTTTTCCAGCAGAAAAAAAAACCACAGAACGCTTCTAAATGCTCCTAAACGCTCCTAAACTTTCCTAACAGCTTTTTTTCTACCTTTTTAAAATTTTTACTACATGTACTGTAAAAACGCCATTGAAACGCTAAAGCTCCTAAATGCTTCTAAATGCTACTAAAACCACTATTACCATTGTTTTATCCAGCGTTTTTTTCAGTATTTTATGAGCTTAAAAATAGCTAGTATACATAGAGCCTTAGAGTATTTAGGTGCTTTTAGGAGAGTTTAGGAGCATTCAGCATTTGTTTCTGCTAGAAAACTGCTCTCAAACATGCAAACCAGAAGGGTTTTTTTTCTGCCTCTAAACGCTGAGCTTAAAATATGCCTCTAAATGTCCTAATGTGCATGGACACGGGATAACATGGAACTACTTCTACAGGCAAAATGCAAAACTGTAGAAGCAGCGATTTTTTAAGCCAGTGTGCATGGATCCTATAGCTGAAGTTTAGGTATGACAATTTGTACATATTTGGTTCATCTTGGATCAATGTAAGTATGTGTGTACTATGTCCGTAGGATCCCCGTGAAAGCTGATAATCATTGCAATAGGCACTGCTACTCCAGTGATCTCCACTAGCTTCTTGGTCCCATGCCAAGAGACTACCCTGCTACACTGTCAATACTTTACATTTTCCCAAAGTGGAGAGGTGCAGCAGTAGTGGCCACCCAATCAGAGGATGCTTTGCATTTATTGTAAAAATTCCCTAAATGGTGCCTGTGCTGAGTGAGCATCCACCTGTGCTGAGCGAGCATCCACCTGTGCTGAGTGAGCATCCACCTGTGCTGAGCGAGCATCCATCTGTGCTGAGCGAGCATCCACCTGTGCTGAGTGAGCATCCACCTGTGCTGAGTGAGCATCCACCTGTGCTGAGTGAGCATCCACCTGTGCTCACAATGCATTAGGGCAGCCTCTTGGCACAGGACCCGAAAGTTAGTAGAGATCACTGAGAGCATTGCCTACTACAGAGATTTCTAGCTTCCACAGGTATGGCACATACGTATTGGTCCAAACTGGAGGTGAAAATTGTCATACCTAAACTTCAGCTTAAAAGTTTCTAAATTGCCCCCACCCCGTGTTTTCTCTTTTGGGGTTGTTTTGTACCTTTAGTTCGTT